TCAATTTTTATATGTCTGGAAAGGTCTTTATTTCTCCTTCATATCTAAAGGAGAGCTTTGCTGGATACATTATTCTTGGCTGGTAGTTTCTTTCATTTAATAGTTTGAATAATTGATTCCACTCCTTTCTGGCTTGTAAAGTTTGTGCTGAGTGAGAAGTCCGACAATAATGGATTTTCCTTTACAGGTTACCATCGTCTTTTCCTTGGCTGCCCTGAGAATTCGTTCTTTGTCATTGATTTTTGATCATTTTTAATACAATGTGTCTTGGAGAAAGCCTGGGTTGAGATCACTGGGTGTTTTGTTGACTTCTTGAATTCCAAGCTCCATCTCATTCCTTAGATTTTGGAAATTCTTGTCAACTATTTGTCTGAAAATGCTTTCTAATCCCGGCTCCTTTTCCTCCCCTTCGATAATGACCATTATTCTTATGTTTCCTCTCCTGATGGTATCATCTAGTTCTTGTATTTCTCTTTCATTAATTTTCACTCTTCAGTTTCTCTCTTCTTCTTTCTGATTTATTTCTAGATTTCTGTCTTCGATGTCACTGATCATTTCCTCCGTTTGGTCAACTCTACTTTCCAAGCTTGCTATTTCATTTTTCACTTCTTTCAGTGTGTTCTTCATCTCTAGGAGTTCTATTTGGATCTTTTTGAGGGTTTCAGTCTCCTTGCTAAAGAACTCATTTTGCTCATCTAGTTGTTTTTTCAATTCCTGAAATTGTTGATATGACTTGTTTTGGAACTCACTGAGTTTTTTCAGAAGTACCATCTTGAATTCTCTGTCATTTAAGTTGCATATTTATATGTCTGTAAGCTTATTTTCTGAAGATTTTTCTCTTTCTTTCTGAGATGCCTTGTTACCTTGGTTGTTCATGGTGTTTAATGGACTATTTCTCATCCTGGGCATTAATGGAAATGTATTCTGCTTTTTTTCCAGAAAGATATATATATAAAGGTCTCTCTTTAGTTTGCTGCAAAGAAGGCACTTTTCTTTTGGTTTCCAGTAGGTGGCCTCTAAACCTCTTGTATCCCTGCTTTATATAAAGCCTTAAGAATGCCTTTTTATTTTCTTATAGATATTTAATCATGCTCCCTACCCTCAGTTTCAGTCCCTGACAGTATTAGCACAGTTTCAGTAGCGTTTGCTCAGATTCCTCTGGGGCTCCATGGTGATCGGTTTCGGAGGATATGGGGAATTCCCTCTGGGTTGGGGAATGGGAGCTATGGCTCAGCCTTGGTTTTGCATCTGGGGCTGGTAAAAATCAACGGTTGTTTTTCTGCCGTCCCACTTCTCTGCTTTCTGCCCTGATGGCTGCGCCCTGCCGCCGGCTGCATGGAACTCATAACTCTCCCAGGCAAGGCTGTTTAGGGAAGTTGCCGCACTTTCTCCTTCCCCCTCCTCCTACAGGGAGCTCTGCACCTGCGAGAGGCAGCTTCTTTATTTCTCTAGTCCACAGCCTGACACCTGGGGTACTGACCTGTGGTAGCTCTTATGCGCAGATCCCATGCTCAGATGTGCTGGTGTGCAGTTTGGGTGTTTTTTGTTGAGTTTTAGATGTTCAGCTTATTATTGTTTCAAGGGGAGATGTCTCTCACTCTGCCATGTTTCTGACATCCAGCGAGCTTACCTTCTTGAAGGCAAGTTAGAGAAGAGATTAAAATGGCAGTATCTAGAGTCATTTATAGTGCATTTATAAGCAATATGGTCATTTCTCACATATAAAATGGGGAAATGATGGCACCTACCACACAAGTTCATTGTGAGAGTTAAACGCGGAGTATTCAGAACCTGATAGAGAATGAATCTTCACTGAGTGTTAGCTTTAGTGTATGTTAACTACTACCCTCGCCCTCACCACCATGTGAGGTACAGTACAAGTACCAGTGCTACTTCTCCCCTTCCCCCAACCGGTCCCGTCCCCAGTGCTCCTCCTTATCTCAGTGGATCTTAACAATAAGAGGTAAACAATTCATCCCCTGATATATTCAGGTGCTCTACAGGTATTTTTTGTGAATTATCTCCTTTGATCTTGGCTATAACCCTTTGAGGTAAGGCTTGCTATTTTCTTCAATTTCTGTTAGAATTAAGCATCCAAGGTTAAATAGCTCATTATATAGTTTTATCACCAGCAGAATTTATAAGTGATCGGACCTGCTCACCTCTTAGTTCAGCCTCTCTGCAGTTCTGCCTTCCCACCTACTGTGTAACCTGGCCAGAGACCTGAGGGTCATCTTCGACTCTTTCTTTCTAATCACAACCCCCAACAAAATGCAGCCAGTCACCAAGTTATGTTACCTCAATCTTCTGAATATCAGAAGATATCTTCACTTCTTTATCTCAGTTATCCTAGGTCCTGCCTCCATCATCTCTTATTTACATGACTACCTCCTAATTTGTTTCTTAACTTCTCTACAGAACACCATGTCATCTATTTTTCGACAACCCTATTCCACGACACTTTCTGCCATCACGTGTAGGGTCAGGTTCAAAATTCTAAATATAAGTTCAAAGCCCTTCACTGTCCAGCTTTTGTTGTCCTATTGAGCTTCATGACTTGCCACTTCCCCCACAGCAAGCCAAGATCTGGTTATATTGAGCTTCTCTTGAGTTTCTATATCATGCATGAGGAAGAATGGTGCAGCTTAGATGGAGGTTTCCTTGAGTAGCTTGCCTTGATTCCAGATGCTTCCAAAATTGTAGGTTAGTGCCCTGCTCTGTATGTTATAACACTGTGTCCTTCCTCAGTCCTGGCTTGTGACATACTGGGTGCACCCCTTGTGCTTATGTGACTGTCATAGACTGGGAGCAGGGACCACGTCTGCCTTACAGACTACTGTATCGCTTGTGCCTGGCACTATGCTCATTAAAAAAAAAAAGTGTTCACAGTGTTACATTAGAGATGAAGATATTAAAACTTATATTTTATGACCTCTTGAGACCATGCAACTTGTTAGCAATAATTTGCAGTACAGATTTTAGTACCAAACTTAGATTCAAGTCCTCCCTCTGCTACTTACCTGCTCTAAACCTCAGTTTCCTGTTCTATAAAGTGGGGTGAGAAACGTGTTCACCTGCTAGGGTTGGGAGAACAAAGTGCATGCCGAGTGCCCAACTCAGCACCTGCACGTTATAAATAAACTCAGGTGAATGGTTTTCATCGAACTCACATTTGGCATATGACCATGTTCTTGTAACATTGTCAGAAGAGTATCTCCTGATGGTCCCATTGAGCTGTTGTTCACAGAAAATAAAAACAAAATAAAGACAATTCCATTAAGGAAATTCTCTGGTTTTGAAAGTGTTTTATCCAGGAATTCTTTTTGGCTGTATAAATATCTATAGAAAGACTAAACTGTACCAAAGTCTAAAAATATCTATTAGGAAAAATTCTCATGGCTCTGTTTTATCATTATATGAAAGAGAATGATCCTATATTAACTTTAATGAAATACTATACCTACTTAGTGTAATGACACATGTGCTGGACTCAGGAACTAACAAATACATTTTACATATATTTATGTGATTGATTTCTTATGGGTGGCAATGCCTGTAATCTACAGATTATTTTTATTTGTTAATAGAATAAATAAAACCCTAAATGACAAGTTTCAAAGAAGGATTTAATGCTTTTATTACATATCATAAATTTGAGCATTGCTCATAAAATTAATTAATTGAGGCTATTTTGGAAGCAGGCTGCTGTGAGTTCAAATCCTGGCTCCAACACATCTTACCATTGTGACTTTGGACACGTTCCAAGCTTTGGTTCCTCATCTATGAAATGGAGATACTGTTAGCTACCTTAAGGATTTGCTAGGAAGACAAAGTAAGCTAAAGTGTAAATCACTCAGCATAGCACTCAGTTCTACTTACAGAAGCCATCAGACATCTTACTCTCAATATTAGCCCAAATTAAATTGGTAACAGGTCTATTTGAAATACATGTTAGCTCATTGTAAAAGTAACTGTTGCCAATCTGAATTCGTACATTATCCAGGGAAAACAATTTATGGTGAATTTTCCCGTTGTTCAGCTTTTTAGATGAATTTGCCATCTTCCACAACAGGAATATGTGTAAGTGTAAGAATTACCATTTGTGTTGTTTAATAGGAATAGTGAAATCTTGCAGTAATCTTGCAGTAATATTTGAGAAGAAATCAACTTTTGTTATGAATAATTTAGCGAGTCGTTTTAAAATTCCCAATGACTCCACTCCTTTTATTTTTCTACCACTGTGGTAAATCTGTTCATGATCTGATGTAGGTGCCCCCAAGAACTCCTACATCATGTAATTACTAGTTACAAGAGGATCTTGTCGAGCTTACATGCAGTATAACTATAAAGTAGTAAAAATAGGAACTTGACTACTGTTTGCAATATGATTGGTACTCAATTATTATTACTGCTATAATTATCATGGGAAGTGTACAAAACATAACTCTTTGGTGTGTTTGCTTCAAGAAATTATTGGGAAATGTGATATTTATAGAAAGACGTTTCAATTTGTGCATGGCTATTAGCTTTTAAGTACCTTACTGCTGTTCTCCTGATGTTTCCCCCAGTTAATTCTTTTCTTAATTGATGTCTGTGCTTTCTCTCTCTCTCTTTACCTCCCTGGCAGTCTTTTTCCTATAAAAGGACCCATCTGTCTAAGGTAGAGATTCTCCATTTTTATATACTCATCAGTGACTAAGCTGCATAGAGTAGACATACTGATCATTTAGAAGTCTCCTTTAACTCTGCTTTTTCAAAACAGTGGTGTTTATTTTTTCCTTTAAGTAAAATATGTTCTTTTTAGTCTGAATTCTAGCACCCAAAAGTATGTCTAATTTCTAATCAGTCATAGAGCAAAGTATACATTTTAAACTTGCTAATCCATAGTAATGAAAAACAATATATAAATAACTGATCTTCTCTGTAATACATAACAATATAGAGAGTAAGTGAGAAAAGCTCTTTCAGAAAAGTGACTCATTTTCATTTGATTTTATTAGACTTGAATTTGAACGGCAACAACGTGAAGAACTTGAAAAATTAGAAAGTAAAAGGTAAGCCCCTTGGAGTACAAGTTTTAATACTGCTGTAGTTGTGGATACTTGTGTTAATATCCTAGACTGATTTCATCTGTGTCTGTTTTAGTACCTCCGTCTGCTCTATGTCTGTTGTTTACATGTCTAATGACTATAGGTCATTTCTCTTTAGCTGGTGAGTTTGACTTCATGTTTGAATTTTTTAAATAGTTCATCTTCAAATACTTGTGAGAAAGGAGGAATAGAGTGAATAGACAAATTTAATACATTCATTAAATTTGATACACCAAATATATGTATTTATTTAACTCAAAAGTAAATCTTCCTTAAAAATATCCACCGAAGTTTTAAAAAGCCGAAAGAATGACAATTTCTCTGCCTTATGCTTCCCCCATTTTAAACATCTTTCCTTATGCTGGTTGGCCATTTGCATTTCCCTATGTAATTTGCCTCTTCATATATTTTTTTTAATGCCTATAGTACCTGGTCTTCCTGGGTGGTCTCTCATCCAAGTACTAACCAGGCCCGACCCTGCTTAGCTTCTGAGATCAGACGGGATCGGACACATTCAGGGTAGCATGGCCATAGACTGCCTCTTCATATTCTTTGCTCACTTTTCTTTTGAGACGTATGTGTGTCTGGTTGTTTTATTGATTTGGAGAGTTATATATTCTATATTCTATATTCTATATTCACGACTATAGAATATATAACTCTCCAAATATATAAATATAAATACATATTATATAAATATGTAGTATATATAAATATATATTTGGGGAGTTATATATTCTATAGTTGTGAATTTTTGTGTAATTCTTTGATAAAATTGTAAGTATTTTCTCCTCCTTTTTCTCCTGTCCTATTTAAAGACAGGAGATCCAAGAAATGAACCAAGGATAGATATTGTAATAGAAACTAAGACCATAGAAAATCTACAAAGTAGATTTTTATTTTCTAGAATCTAGAGTTTAGTTATTATAGATGAATTAGTTTAGTTTCCAGCATCATATAAGATAGATCCTTGTGGGTCAAGAGATGGAGGCCATGTATCAGTACTCTTACATACCCTGTGTTCTTGCTTTAGAGGCCATCCCAATCTCCAAACATTAATTTAGCATCTAGTGGGGGTCATTTGTTCACCTACACAAAACATGACATGTAACCCCTTGAGTCATGCACTTAAGTATTCTAATGGGGACTCTGTTATTTTCAGTGTTATGTATTAGTAAACTAATATTTTGGGCTATTTGGTGATTATTATTTTTCCTAAACTAGTGATTAAATGCTAAAAAGCATGTAGTTATTTGAGCTGGAACAACAAACTGTCGATTATCTTGACTTTCATATTTGACCCCAGTGAGTTGAGGACAGCATAAGCATTTTTATTTAATGTCATCTCATAACTGAATTTCTGTTGCATTTTAGCCATTGGGCTGAATAAAATTATTCACATTTAAATTTAAATTGGGCATGGTTCTTTTTCTTTGAGCTCAGGGGGCTTTTAAAATTATATCATGCATAACACATTATGCTTATAGACTTTACAAAGAAATGATATCAGAGGCTACTTCAAGAGATTAGGCAAATGATATGTCGGACAGTTACAGAGTAAAAAAATTAAACAGCCTGCTGCTGAAATGAAAAGAAAAGCAGTTTTCCCTCATTTTTATTGTGGCGAAGGATTTGGCTTTATATTGTACATTCATTTTCCGAACATCTCAGTTAGATGAAAGTTAGAGCGACATTTGAACACAGTGATCAGATAATGATCAGTCAACGTTTTGCATTTCAGGAAGCTCATAGAAGAAATGGAGGAAAAGCACAAATCAGATAAGGCGGAACTGGAGCGAATGCAGCAGGAGGTGGAGAGTCAGCGCAAGGAGACGGAAATCGTCCAGCTCCAGATCCGCAAGCAGGAGGAGAGCCTCAAACGCCGCAGCTTCCACATCGAGAGCAGGCTCAAAGATCTGCTCGCTGAGAAGGAAAAGTTTGAAGAGGAAAGGCTGAGGGAGCAGCAGGAAATCGAGCTGCAGAAGAAGAAACAAGAAGAAGAGAGGTTCCTCCTGGTCAAAGAAGAACTCCAACGGCTCCAGGAACTCAACAACAATGAGAAGGTGGAGAAGATCCAGATATTTCAAGAACTAGAACGGCTCAAAAGGGAAAAAGATGAACAGTATGCTAAGCTTGAATCGGAAAAGAAGAGGCTGGAGGTGCAAGAAAAGGAGCAGGTCACGCTCGTGGCCCATCTTGAAGAGCAGCTCCGAGAGAAGCAGGAGATGATCCGGCTCCTCCGACGAGGGGAGCTACAGCGGGTGGAGGAAGAGAGGGGAGACCTGGAAGGCATCCGCGAGTCCCTTCTGCGTTTGAAGGAAGCTGGGGCCGAGGGCGATGATGATGGCGAGGAACTAGAACGGGCTCAGCTGCATTTCTTAGAGTTTAAGAGAAGGCAGCTAATTAAGCTAGCCAACTTGGAGAAGGATCTGGTTCATCATAAGGACCTCCTAACAAAAGAAGTTGAAGAAGAACAGGAAATCCTGGAGCATTTAAAATCTGAAAATGAAGAGGAATTTAGGTTGTTGGAAAAAAATGATGATGGTGTCACAGATGTCACTCAGGTGGCTCAAGATCTAGAGAAAATAAAGCTATCACAGTATAGGCTGCAATATAAAGAACGCCAGCTCCAGCACCTCCTGCAGAGTCATTTGCCAACTCTGTTAGAAGAAAAGCAGAGAGCTTTTGAAATCCTTGACAGAGGCCCTCTCGGCTTAGACAACACTCTTTATCAAGTAGAAAAAGAAATGGAAGAGAAAGAAGAACTGCTTGCGCAGTACCAAGCCAATGCGAGCCAGCTGCAGAGGCTCCAGGCCACCTTTGAATTCACTGCCAACATAGCACGTCAAGAAGAAAAAGTGAGGAAAAAGGAAAAGGAGATTCTGGAATCAAGGGAGAAGCAGCAGAGGGAGGCGCTGGAGCGTGCTGTAGCCAGGCTGGAGAGGAGGCATTCGGCCCTGCAGAGACGCTCCACCCTGGGCCTGGAGATCGAAGAGCAGAGGCAAAAGCTGGCCACTCTGAACAGCAGCAGCAGCAGCAGCGAGCAGTCGGGGCTTCAGGCTAGCCTGGAAGCTGAGCAGGAAGCCCTGGAAAAGGACCGGGAGAGGTGAGATGCGGAAAGGAAAAGCATGGCATACCTTTTGTGCCAAATGGTTGTGCGTTTTCTATCCCTCTTAGTTTGTCTCTCACTGTCTTTTTTTAAAAGTAATTCTTTTAGCTTTTATATTCTTTACTATACAGGCAAATGCTGAGAGAAGTACTTTCTTTACTTTCTTCTTAAGATCCTTGTTTTAGAATCATTGGTCTAAAGTTGAAAACGCACACAAAAGCGAAGCCCTTGTCCATTGCCCCACCGACCTATGGAATGTGTACATTTTAATATTTGATGAATACGAAAGACTGAAAGCTTCTAGCCTTGATTCCTTCTTCCTTTCCTTTTTTCCCTTCTGGTCTGTTCCCTCCCTTCCATGACCTTCCATTTCCTTCCTTCCTTTTTCTTTCTCTCCCTCCCTCCCTAAAAATCTTCTCCACCCTTTGTTTACTCTTTCCTTCTCTCCCTCCTTTCTTCCTTCCTTTGCTTTCTTCCTCTTCCCTCCTCTGCTTCCTTCTCTTTTTCCCTCTCCCCTTCCTCAACGTTGACTTCACATCTTCTCCCTGGCTAGCCTGAGTTACAGTATAGCACCCTGTTGTGCTCACAGATTGCAAAATGTACTGATTTTCTCTCCTGATAGGGAAGGGAACAGTACTTCTCCCACCTTGATGATTCACAGTATTTGAGGGGAGGCTCCAGGATTCTGTATTAAAAGATAACCAAATGAACAAAACTCTCCTGATCATTCTGAACACAGTGGTTATGTTCAGGCAGGTTTAGTGATGATTTATTGATATTGCTGTTTGATTTTGAAAAATAAAACCAGAAACCAGTACCATTTTCATGCTAAAGAGAGAATATTCATCTTCTTTACCCTATCCCTTGTCACTTGCTTCCCACACAGTAGGTTCTCAAAATGAATAAATACATGAATTCAAGAATGCTTTTTTTGGTAGCCCTATAGATATGATGCCAAGACTCCCCAGAAAGGCTGAGGGCCTCCTGGTTGCAAACATCACCTGATTTATTGTCCTGCAAGGGGGCTTCATACCCTGGCCCAGCCCTTTCTGTCTTGGAACATCTGAACGCTACCCATTCCCTAGCATTCCTCTCAGTCATAGCCCCTCTAGGAGCCCAGCTTGACCTTGACAGAGGTCTGGGATCCATGTTGATGATAAGGCAGAGCCTACTCTGAGGTGTTGCTGGAACTTGCATCTATCATCTTGCCTGAAAAGGTCAAGACAGCCTCCTTTCAAATGATCTGCCTTATACTGAGAATTCTATTTGCAATTGCTCTCTGGTAATTCCCTGAGGCAAAACAGCAACAAATAACAATCAAAAACCATAATGCTATTACTTCAGAGAAATAGGTTGGAGGTTTAAGAAAATGATTGCAGGTATGTTATGTAAATGAAATTGCTGGACAAAGCTCCAGCCCCAGGAAATTTAAAGTAGTGGAGGGCATGCTCTCAATTTGTATCTTGCAGTGTACAGTAAGAATGCAGCATGAGCTTTTAGCTTGATGTCACTGGCTTTTGTCAACCGGCTTCACTCCCTGGCCATTTAGTATTAATACTCTGTTATAGTGGATACAGCATTGTGATTTCTGTGGAAGCGATTTTCCAGCGTCAGCATTCCTCCAGCAGCCACGCAAAGGAGGCTTTTAGCTTCATGTGTTTTGATAGAGTAGAGTCAGCTTAAGACCTAATTCGGTCCAACAAATCTGAGCTCTTTGCTTTGGCTGTGACGCTCCTGCGGTTTTCTGTGAGCGTTCAGTGTTTTATTATCTCTCTGAGTTCTCATGGCTGAGCCGGGGCCTGCCGTGCAGGCTGATTTGACCACTTGTGAAATTCCACAAGTGTGAAATACTAAATTCATGTGGAACCAGATTAGACAATGGTGCACTAAACTTGACTTTTCCTGCCAGCTTGCTTTATGGAAGAATTTAATCCGTTTTCTGTCTTCTTTTCCACCCAGTGGTTTTATAACTATCAAGGACAAGTGTCAGGCAGTTAGAAAGTGACAGAGCCGCAACTTGAATCTAGGTTCACTTACCACACGACTCTTAGCCACTTGTCCTCTTGTCTGCTGACCAGAGCTGCTGCCCGGGAAGACCAGTTTTTCACATGTGTAGCAACCCTTCCTACAAATCCCTCTCAGCTTTCGGGGCCCTGTTTGAACCCCTTTGTTCTGTGGAGTCTTTTCCTCTGACCTGGCCCTAAAGGGTGTCTTTAAACGACTCTAGTGGGTGTCATCTTTATAAACTTTGGCAGTTACCTGCTAACATCTGGTTCATTTTTCTTACAATCTCTGAGAATCCGTTCATATTGTTCCCTGGTTCTTGGTCTACTACTTGGCCCCTAATATCACTCTTATACTTATTCCTTCCTCCTTTGAAAATGTTATATGCTATGTATGTTGATGCTCAGTAGGTACTTGCTAATCAGTAGACAGATGAAGGACTGAGTTAAGCAGGGCATTGCCTCCCATGGAACCCATGATGTTGACCCTGGTGACCCCGTAATCCCTTTATGCCAGTTAAGAACTTGGCTTTCATATTCAGGATAGAGCAGGCAGTGGCTGTCAAAGAGCAGGCAATATCATGATGTGTCAGCATCTGAAGCTAGAAACCCTGATTTTTTTTTTTGAGCTGAAGGAATTTAGAGAGGCTAGTTGATTCATTTGATACATGAAGAAATTGAGACCCAGATTTCATTAACTTGCCCAAGTTCACACAGTGAGTGGGCTGTAGCCCCTAGCTGGGTCTTACATTCCTGAGACTAAATTTACTGGCGAGCTTGCCCCTCTAGCCTAATGGCCCTGGATTCAAGTGTACCTGGGCCAGATGTATTATTTATCTTGGGAAATAACATGTTCGGTTCCACAGTTTATGGTTTATATGAGTTTCTCGAGATAGTCTGTTTTCCTGGATCTCTCATCTGTTTGCCTTTCACACCCTCTGCCTTAGCCAAAGTGGATTCCTGGTTTTCCTGGCTTAGCCTCTTTGTTCATATTGCTTTCTGTACCTGGAGAACCCTCCACCGTCATCCCCAAATGTCCAGATTCCCACTGGGCTCTGAAGATTCAACTTAGAACAACTACCTCGAACATGAGGTATCTTCTAAATTGGTGGTTTTAAAAAACTCTCTAAAGCGTAGATCTCTTTGCCAAATGGAAATATTTAGTGGGATCCTGATATGTAGTAAACAGTTGTTTTATTGAAGCTAGGGTAGTGGACTCATAATCCGTCATCTCTACCTCTGAGAATTTGCTTGGAGCACAGTGGGAATATCTTTGCCCTTGATGGCAAAACTCAATTTTTGGATGTCTGCAGCACTTGTTCTGAATCTCGTTTGTGGCCCATTATCAGTTATACCTCGTCTTAAAGTTGTGGTAACTTTTCTATTAGAAGATCAAGCTATTTGCATAAGAGTTTTTGTCTGGATCCCCCATAGTTTGTAGAACAGTGTCCCAACCAGTGATGAGGCTCAGGAAATACTTTTCATGAATGAATTCATGTAACTCCCATCTCTGTAGGTTGGAACATGAAATCCAGCAGTTAAAGCAGAAGATCTGTGAGGTTGATGATGTTCAAAAAGGGCATCGTGGGACCTTGGAGGGGAATGCTGCTTCTAGCTTGTCATCCAGTGCTGAAAAATCTCACCTGGTTCCTCTGATGGATGCCAGGTACTGTACATTAAATTAATGCTATGCCTCCATTTCTGAAGTCATTTAAGGAGTCATCGTACCTCATATTGGCCAGTTTACGTATGGAGGGATCTGTCACAGGTGACAAGTAATCCATGTTCCTGAGATATGCTTTGTCTCCATCAGCCTCTGCCTGGCCAATGATGGGTTGAGGTATCATTTCAAAGGAACCAAAGACCTCAGAACTGGCCAGCTAAATCCAAGGAATTCTGGTGCAAGGAGTTTCTATGAGAAGATAGAATGAAAAGGTCCAGGAAAACCAGCTCATACAGAAAGGAGAGGAACAAGGAAGTAGGGTTAATTGAATTATACCAGGAAGAAAGACCTTTTTTTGACAATTTATAGAAGTCATTGATTACAAATAGATTAAGTGTGTTACAAAAAGTGTACCACTGTATCCAGAGTGATCATGAATAGCGTAAATATATATCTGATTTTACCATAGTAAAATGATTTTCAACCTGGGTAACTCTATCAGTTGCTCTGTGACTTAAAGCTCTCAGATAAATTGACTTAATCATTCTTTGCCTATAAGAAACTTGATTATTTTTCTCAACCCCATCTATGTCATGGGAA